GGGGGTAGGTTATGAAAAGGGAATGTGTTAGCACCCTTTTCATCCGTAGTTATCTACGGGCTCTTAGTTGCTTGCTAGATCACTTGCTTTTGTTTGAAAATGTGCTTGTGGTATGGGTTTTGAATGTATTTTGAAAATGTCTTTGTAATGGCTCTTGTTTCTATAAGAATGCGTACAAAGTGTTATCTTGAAAATAGTTCAAAGAAGTGTTTGTGAAATGTGTTTTTGAAAGTGATTTTGAAAAGGTGTCTTTGTAATGGCTCTCGTTTCTGTAAGAACGCGTACAAAGTATTTTTCTTTTGAAAATGTTTCAAAATGAGAGTGTTGGTGTATTAAATGTTTTTGTTGTAAGCAAGAGAGCAACTAGGAGCAACCTACCTACTCAAAAGGTCTTAAATGTTCTTTTTCTCCTCCTTTAGATGTTGCTATCTTACCATTGATTTGGTAAGAAGCCCCATTGTTGGATGTGAAGGGACGGGTGTGAGACGTTTGTATAGTCATAGAAGGCAACCTATGGGACATTTTAGCAATGTCGTTTTAGGGACTAGATCATTTACCTAAGGCAACATTAAGGGTCATCGAGGGACTACGATCTTTTATCGAGGGTCTTTGCTAAAGCGCCCATATTCGAGGGACATGACTATTTTTCCGAGGCAACAAGTGAGATTATACTAAAGGTGCATGTGTGAATGGTGTGTTTGATTTGCATGCATTTAGTCTTTGATTAGGGATTATCTACTTGTTGTTTTTATCTTGCCATATGTTCCCTATTTTACTAGCAAGCATACAAAAGTAATAAAATGCAGAAAGATAAAATCCTACACTATTACAACCATATTGAATTGCATGAAAATATAAAGACAAAAATAAAATAAAAACAAGAAAAATGAGGGTTTTTCGATTGAGGCAGAAGACCCTTCGATTCTGCACTTTCTGGCTCTCTTCGATTTGGGCCTGGAGTCAGTGAAATCATGCCCTTCGATTTACCTTTCTGCCTCCTTCGACTAGGGGATGGAAACAGTGTAGGCGTCTTTTGTCTGGGCCTGGAAGTCAACATATTTCTGCCTTTCGCTTGAGGCTTGGATATGGCAAGGTTTTGGCCTTCGTTTGAGGCCTATAGACAGCAACATTCATGTTTTGCCACAGGCTCCCTGCTGACTCTTTGTAAGTATATTGGGCACTCAGATTATAATTCGAAAGGCTTGTGCAGCTAGCCAATCGAAGGGTATAATAAACCTGTCTTAAAGTCTAAAAATATAATATCCAAACATAGCTACAGTCCAGGGCTTAGCATGAAAACTAATGGGTCTAAAAAGTCCAAAGTATAACTAAACTAAGGTTGAGTTTTCAACATATAGGCAGTCAGAATCGAAAGCTAAAACATGGTCTAGAAATGTCTACATTTTTCCTTATTGGCATATGCACATGATATTAAAATATAATATACTAAAGTTTGAAAGAAAACTTACCTCTTGAAGTCCTTGAATCGAAGGGAGATGTAAATGCTTTCTTTGATGGAAAATGGGAGTTCGTTGGGAACTTCCTGAGGCTAATCTAGTTACTACTTTGTGAGAGTAGTGACTAGGTCGAAAGAGGTTGTGCGAGTGGAATCAAAAGCTCTTTTATGACAAGTGATGAAATGACTCAAAGGCCTATTGTATGATAGCTGAGGGATTGGGTCGAAGGATGATTTGATGGTCACCTGGAGGGTAAATCGAATGATTTTTCCTTGGTGTTTAGTATTATATGGAGAAAAACGTTGGGAACTATTTAGGAATTTTTGAGAGTTTTCATAAGTGTTTTCTTGCAATATTTTTTCGGACGCCCTCCATATGTGGGGTGATACCTCCTTTTTATAGATGGCTTGGGCTGATTCTTTGGGAGGGAAAACAAAAAGTTCAAACAAAAAGGGTATGTTGTATTTGTAGCTTTCGAGGGACAATGTTTTATTGCCATTTTGGTGCAAGAAATAGGGCAGTAATACAGGACTGTTGTGCAGCAGTTTTGGAGTTTTCTGGCCAGTGCATCAGGCTTGATCCTGGCAGCGCATGGGACTTGGTCAACAAGTACCTTTGGCATCTCAACTTTTTGCCTTGACTCCCTAGCCTTTCCTTTTGACCAGACTCTTCAATAACCATCTCTTTTTTTCCAATCGAAGTGTCATTCGAATGACTCCCATGGATATCCTTTGAAGGGGCCAAATTAATGCTTTTAGGATAGGTCAGTACTATATGTCCTTCGATTGGGGACATCCAAACATGCCTGACAAACTCTTCGAATGCACCACCATGGTGCTTTCTTTGCCTGAGGCATTGACATAGTGAAGAGTTTGTATGTTTGAAATAGGCCATTTCTACAGAAGATCATGCCCACTCAAATTTGCCTGCAAAGGGGCCACATGGCCAAACGAAAGAATGACAAAAGACTTGTGCTCAAGGATTCACACCCTCAAGCGAAAGATGTGTGCCAGGGATGGAAGACTCAATTGAAGCTTGCAACATTGGGAAAGTTTGCCCCAAACGAAAGAGGCTTGCAAGGGTGAAATGTGTGATCGAAAGAGGGCAGAAAAAAGGGGGTTTTGGCCTCCTGAATCGATGGACATCATCAGGAAGCTTCTTCCCTTGTGAATTGAAGCTATATTTAAGGGAAGTGTTGCCCTGTCGAAGCTTCTAACAAAATGCCTCAAAGGGGACTTTGGCCTTGGGCATACTATTATGGTAGGAAACTTTGCCTTGTATGTCTTGTCTAACACGCATGGAAGATCCTGTATGGCCAAACGAAAGACTTGTACAAACCTTCAAAACAAATTCTAACGCTAAAACGAAACAGGAAATGATCTTAGCCAAATGAGCCCAATGCCTCAAACGAAGCATGAAACGAACTTGCCCCAAATGAATCCAATGCCCAAACGAAAGATGCAACCAAGGCCAAAGCGTTCAATTGAAGTATGCATAATCGAAAGGAACTTGGTTTTCCTTTAATTTTTTCAAAAAGGGGATTTTCATTTGTTTTGTCCTTTTTTAGCAATTTCTTCCATAATCTTAATGCTGAAAAAATCCAAATATATTTGTGTAAGCTTGAATTTTGGGAGCCCCTTTGAGAAATGTCTTGAGGAATGAGAGGGAAAATTTTGGGGTACAACACACATATAGACATATTTACTAAACTTAAAAAAAAACAAAACTATTGCGATGTAATTAATATCAACATCATTCCCCTGAAACGGCATCATTTTGTTGAAGTGGTAAAGCGGCAAGCAAAAAGTAATAGGTATTTATTACCGGGTGATATATAGGTTATATCGTATTGTCTCCACAAGGATTAGTGCGAGGGAAAAACTACCATTCAACGTTTTCGACTCTCTAAGTTTGGAAAAGGGTTTGCAGAAAGTAAGTGCAGGAAAAGTAAATAAATCAAGAAAGAAATTGATAAACAATCATCTGCATCTAAAGAGAATTTATTTTGGAATCGCGTTTCATTATACCCGTCAAATACTTACACTTGCAAATCAATTGCACACAACCAACAATATGCATCAAAATCATCAAGTATCATTCTAAAGGTGCCACAACAGAGGTTATGTCTAACGCAAAGTCGAGACAACCGTATTGCTCGTGTCGGTGATCTCTCAGTATAACACATATAACACAGAGACATTAAGCTCTCATACCCATGATGATTATTATCTCTAAATTTATATCTAGCGTCTAGAAACTAATAGATATCATTCCATAACCAAGATTCATGAATTCCATTTCTAGAACAACTCAAACCTCAAACATAAAGGAAAAAAGGTTAAGGAACAGCATTAATAATGATTTGTAAAGCAAGCATATATACAATCCCATGAACAACAAATGTACATATAATAAGATTAAAATATACATACAACACCCATCATTGGAATGATACATAGGGAAGAAGGAGACGAATATGAATCTTTTCACGGTGTCAACATGATTCGAGACAACCCATAGCCAATCGACAAGATGGACCACCCAATGATGTTGGGTAAACCTCTAAACTACAAAGATTTGGATCAGATCTCCTCCATGGGGGAAAGAGATGATTAAACCTAAGAAAAATATGTATTGAACATTAAATACAAATCTGAAATACGCAGACCGCGCTAAGTGGGCCTGGAGTTCTAAGCGCCATTTCCTAAATTAACCCATAAACCGCCTAAAATTACGCTAAGCGGCTCCAAAACTTTGCTTCTATGATTCCCGCTTAGCGCGCTTGCATGAACGAAACTTCTCAAAAATGGACTTTTATTCTAAAAACATGCATCTGGAGTCGTGCCTTCGACACTTTGTTCCTCGATGCTCCAAATGTGCAACAAATACCTACAAAAGAAGTAAAATCTATCAAATGTTACATAAATGAATCAAAAACACAAATATACACAAACTAAACGTATTTACAAACAAAGCGGGGAATTACTCAACGATATTAACAACAAAGAGTCGATAAGTGCAACAAAAAGTATATACAAAAATAACTATAATTTGCACTTATCAGTAGCCCCATAGTAGGTGTTATTGTATATTGAACCGGGTTAACAATTTTGTGTGTTCCTTTTTCTTTTTAGTACTATTTTGATTATGTATACCTTGCCATAATGTTTATTCAGAGATCAGATGTCTCGACATCCTATAGGACATATGTGATCTGATATACTAGAATTTCAAAAATGTTCCTTCCTGTTTTTGCACTTGTTTTAACTCACTCCTCATGCCTTCATTAACATCCATCTATTTCAAATAAACATAAAAATAAAACAATTCAATATATAAGCAGAGCTTTAGATCTCAACCAATGTCATGAGGCAGATACTAAGAAATTAAGAAAAATATACTTGAATTTTCCTTTTCTCTTCGTCCTGATACAGGAAAATCAATTTACTTACATTCATTCATTCTATTAGAAAATTGGGTTTTAGGGTTTGCTTGAGAAATTTGGGTTTCAGCACCAAAATCATTGTCTTACCTGCTCGAATCTCGGTTCCATACTTCTTGAAAGAACAACATCAAAATAGTCAGATACAAAAAGGAGGAAGGAAGAAGAATAGGGAGAAGGAAGAAGAAGAGTAGTTCGTGAGAGAGAGAAAGTGAAGAAATCTTAGAGTTAATAGAAACCGCCATAGAAGAAGATGGAAGAACAAAAAGAAGAAATTGTCGATGCTTGATTTTGGATATAGTATAATGGAAGGAGTTGGAAGGTGAAACATCAGAAACTGTTGCCATATGATAATGGAAGAAGAAGAAAATCGTGTAATAAAGGGTATGTGTGGGAACCGTCATTGGGTAACTGCTTATTGTAATTGTGCACATTAAATGAAAGGAATGGGAAAGGTTTGGAAGGCAGAAGGTTTGGAAAGTAGTATCTAAACAAGCGAATAAATAAAAGAAAAAGTGGAAAATACAAAGGAAGAAAAAAGTTGAAAGCTTAGCCCATCAACGTGGCTTGTTATGGAGTAAAAATGGGTTTTTTGTCATTAATAGAATATTATTTTTCTTATATGATAAATTACCATTCAGAACGATTCTAAAAGAAAACTGAAACAACTACTATTACAATTCAAGGCTAGTACTATAGAAAAAACTGAAACAACACCATAACTTGTTATATTTTTGGAATTATAATAGAGAACCCGTGTAAAATACTTTTCCTTTTTCAGTCACACATTAACATGAAAAACAAATTATAAACCATATAGAAGATATACTAATATATTAGAAGAGGATACATAAACATATTGATTTACAATTCAATTCAAGATTCTATTTAATGAAAAATCTATATTATGTCAAATCAATCGTGCAAAATGCACTTTCATGATATATGAGATTCAAGGGATCAATAATTTATATCTAGTTAGGCTCTAAGTCATAAAAGTATTAATAATCATAATTAGTATTTAATTAGATTCTGATATCAATTGATAGATTTAATTGAATAGGGTAGACACAAATTATAGCATATTATTATATCATAGAGTAATCAAGAATAATAGGAACGGTGTATCTTGTACGATTGGAGAGATTGCTGGTTTAGGGGAGTGAATATGAGAGGATTACTACCCTTATTGCAGTCTAAGTTTTCATAATATGTTAATCATTTAATGGGACTACGCTTAAATAGTTAAACGACTGAGGGCAGTGACCTCTCATTGAGCTTAACTGAATGGTCCAACTCATCACAGTACATTCAGACACAAAACTCAATCAAATAATTCATCAATAATTAGTGTTTAATAACAATTGACCACATTATAACTAATTGATAATTAATTATTTCAATTCATATTTAATTAATTAAATAATTAATCTAACAAAATGTCCTCCGAAATTTTTGATGAGGCATTGTTGCTGCTATAGAGCGGCAAACAAAAAGTAAGTTATTAATTTACCGGGTGATATAGGTTATATCATATCGTGTCCACAGAGATTCGTTATTGATTTGTCATTTGATAAATTTCTTGTTAATGAGTTTGGGGATAAATGGGTTGCAAGGAAAAGTATCAACAAAAAATAAATGTAAACAAAAACTATAAAGGTTAGATAACTTTTCCGATATGAATGTACACTACTCATCACAAACTTAAATCTATCGATCAGTTGCACTCAATCTACCGTACTCGTCAAAATCATCACAGACACCACGAGATGTACCCACAGTGAAGGTTATGTCTAATGCCAAGTCACGTGACCAACCGTATTACTCTATCGGTAATGTCTTGTACGCTACAACAACACAGAGACATTAAGCTTTAGCACCTAGAGTGAATATTAGCTCTAAATCTATATCTAGAATCTAGAAACTAGTATATATCCATCCCTAATCAATATTTGTGAGGTATATGTCTATAACAACCCAAATCCAAACATAAAGCAAAAAGATCAAAGAAGACATCAAGATTGATTTGTAAAGCAAGCTTTATACAACACATGATCAACAAATATACATATGTTCAAAGTAAATATAAAAACATATCCAACAAATAGAGAAATACATAGAGAAGAAATGGAGAAAAAACCAAACATCTCATGGATTATCAGCGCCGATTGATGAGAAATTTGACTCCAGATCATCAAGATGCAAGCTCCAATGTTGTTTTCTAAGCTCTCTCTACCAAAAAATGAAGGTTTGATGAGTTGGAAACAAATACCCTAAAACATCACCTAAAAAATGTGTATTTTGGCCCTTTTAACGCAATTTTGTCCAGGGGACCGCGCTAAGCGGCAAAATCCCGCTAAGCGCGCTATACTGTCATGAGAAAAAATCAGCTTTTTGTTTTCGCCATAACTTGAGAATCATAACTCCGATTTACGCCCGAGTCGAAGTGCTGGAAATCTTATTCAATTATATATCTAAGAATGCCTAAATATCAACCAAATTGATTATTTCTTATTTTTTGATTTTGAGCCTTATCCATTGACGAGTTGCTCAAAATCGTGCGTTTGAAGTCGTGTCTTTGACACTTTATTACTCATGCTCCAAATATGCATCAATGCCTACAAAATGAATGGAAAAACATAAAATGATACACTATGTACACAAAAACACAAACTAAACGTATTTATACAAAAGTAGGGTTTATTCAACGATATTTACAATAAAAATCGGTAAGTGCAACAAAAAGTATATACAAAAATAGCTACAATTTGCACTTATCAAACTCTCCCTAACTTGAACTTGTTTATCACCAAACAAAGCCAAACAACTCAAAGAACCAAAAGTAATCAACCAAAATATCATGAATCAACAAGTTTTGAAAACGAAAAACAAATGCAATGGTTCAAATGAAAAATGGTACACACGATGAAATATACTTACCACTAAACTACGATGATAACATAAACACGAAAAGAATGCTAAATACAAAGAACGTGCCAAACATTCTAAAATAACACTAGTTCACAAATGAATCACGCCTATCAAAAATAATCATCGGTAGATGAAAAACACACAAAATAAGGTATTTTCACTCATCCACATTCTTGCAAGCAAAAGACTAAATTATACCTTCATCCAAAAACTCATATTGAAAATACAAAGACAAGAATCTCAAGAGCTTTTCAAAGTTGTAATGTGGATTGGTTAATAAACAAGGGATAAATCCTAAAGCTAATCGAAACAAAAACTTTCTTAAACCTAAGGGAGTGATCAACTCACAAAGACTCAAGCAAAATAATTTCAATCAAACTTCTCCTTCATTCCAAATTTCAAACCAACACACATCACTTGTTAGCACTATTATTCGAACTCTTTTTCTTTTTCTTTTTCAAAACTTTTTTTTCTTCATTTTTTTCTTTCTTTTTCTTTTCGCTTCTTTTTCACATTTTTTTCTTTTTCTTTCTTTTACAACCTCGTAGCAATCAACAACATAAGTGAGCAAACAAATCTCTCCCCAACTTGAATTCAACCATATCATAATTTGAATGCTCCCTACTTTCTAAGGCAAGGTAAAAATTCAAACTACAACTCATAGTTAAGGGTTCAAGAAAACAAAGAATCAATATCCATACAAAAATGAACCAAACACTCATAGGCAAGCATTTAGCAAAAATAACATGGATATCGATAAAAAGAGTCAAAAGGGGTTACTAATGATAACACACTCACAAGGTGAATTGACTATTTGGTCAAGGGGTAGTTGTGCTCAAAATGAAACAAAAATATGTCTTGATCATGTTCATGCTTTCATATAATCAATACAAACAAAATATTAAGCATAATAAAATTCAGTTAAAACAAGAGTTGTGGTCTCCAGCATATGTGAACAATGGAAAACTACCTCACAAAAAGAATATGAACTAAAGTGATTCACAAATGAACAAGTATACAAAAGAATGAACGGCATAAAAATTGTAAAAAGTCTGAGTATCGTGAATATGCTAAAGTATAGAAAGCGATAAACACATACCTCAAACGTGTAAAAAACTTTAACAAAATCATTACCACGCATTCGCAAGTTGAAACACTCAAACATGGAAAATCACCAAAAGCGACCTCAAGCTATCGAACCAAAATTGAGTTCAAACAACAACAAAAGAATTAATTCTACTAATATTATTTACTATTTAAAGCCTAGGTGGAAGTGGAAAAAAATGGAAAGCAAGTGGAAATAAAAGAATTCACTGGCTCGGCACAGCAGGGCGCACTAAGCGGCACAGAGCGCGCTAAGCGCACTACACCAGTTGCAGAAAAATAGGACAGCAACAACAGTGCTGCAACACCCTCCACAATCACCTACACAATCTCAAACATACAATATTTACAACATACAAATACACTTTCACAAGCTAAACACGGCAAGTTTCCGGAAAAACACAAATTAACATAACAAAACTAACGGGTGAAAGTGAATTAACAAGTTGAAAAGTGAAAATTTGAGAATTTAAAACAAGTCCAATTTCAACTTGTTAAAACACAAGTCAACGCATACATAAACGAATACAAACAAAACATGTTTGTTTTACGTCATAAGCTCGACGCCTTTATTGTGCGAGCTAGTAACCTCCTCTCGTCATGCCATAGTATTGTCACACCGCGCAAACCTAAAGAAAGCATCTTAACATCCATACAATAAATGTTACGAAAACAAGACAAAATTCACAACAATATGTGAAAACAAAGAAAAACACATATATGAACAAGTATGGAAAATAAACACAAAACATGTACAAGTAAAAATAGAAAAGTTTATGTACACATTCTATACAACATATACATTAATTACAAAACTCAAAAACAAAGAAACTATCACAATGCAAAACAATAAACACCAATCCCCAGCAACGGCGCCTTTTGTCGTTGTTGTAGAGCGGCAAGAAAAAAGTAAGTTATTAATTTACCGGGTGATATAGGTTATATCATATCATGTCCATAGATATTGGTTATTGATTCGACGTTCGACAAATTTCTTGTTAATGAGTTTGGAGATAAATGGGTTGAAAGGAAAAATATCAACAAAAAATAAATGTAAACAAAAACTATAAAGGATAGATAACTTTTCTAGTGTGAATGTACACTACTCGTCACAAAATTAAATCTATCAATCAGTTGCACTCAACCTACTGTATTCTTCAAAATCATCATGGACACCATGATATATACCCACAATAAAGGTTATGCCTAATGCCAAGTCGCAAGACTAACTGCATTACTCTATTGGTAATGTCTTGCGCGCTACAACAACACGGAGGCATTAAGCTTTAGCATCCAAAGTATGTATTAGCTATAAATATATATCTAGAATCTAGAAACTAATAGATATTCATCCTTAATAAATATTTGTGAGGTATATGTCTATAACAATCCAAATCCA